GACCTCTGAGAGATCTCACTGAATGTGCTTTACTCCGATTGAAGCAACCGTCACTTGTTGTGTTGTTTGGTTTATATATGATGTATATTGTGTTTATTGCTTTTGTTAATATAAATGACCTTGTCTTAAATAGTTGATGTTTTGTCTGATGTGATTTCTCTTCGTCTGGTATTGTTAGTGATGGATGTAATTAATTTGATAGTTGTTCATTAATAAACTAATAATCCTGTCCATTGGTCCGTAACTTTTTAAAAAAAATTAATTTGTATTAAGTAATTTATGAGCTCATGACCTTGATTGTACCAGGGGTGGATCTAGAGGGGTGGCATAGGGTGTCATCTGTCCCCCTAGTTGATTGTCAAATGCTGACAAATTTAACACATTAATTTAGATTTATTAGAAAAAATAATGTGTTAAAAAACTGAAATTAGTTTAATATACTATGGCCACATTTACATTCAATGAAAGAAATATGTGTATTTGGAAAAATGTATGATATTTAATAATTCAATCATTCTGTTAGGTGGCATTAATAAATCCAGATGTGCAACAAATGAAGAAAAAACAAATAATTCAATTATTCTTTATGATCAATATAAATTGATGTTTGATCATCTATGAATCAGCATGTATAAACCACCCTGTTAATATTTCTCTAGATCCACCCCGATTGTAATGACTTGTAAATAATGTCATTGTAAATATATTTTCTTATTATGTGGTCATAAAGAAAATGTATGCATATATTTCAATGATAGGTTTGAATTACTTACCAAATATATTTTTAATTAAGCGTTTTAAATAATCAAAATGGTCAAATTTTGGTCAATTTTTTTTTTCAGACTATACATTTCACTGTGTATTTATTTAATGACTTAATTACTTGTTATTTTATACCTAGTGCGTGTTTTTTTTTTTTTGTGAGTACGGTTTTATGGCCAAAGTCGAGAGTTCAAAACAGCCTTACTGCTTTCCGTAGCTTCAGCCGACTACGTTGGCAACATGGCGTCGTCAGATGTCCACGTCCGAATATGTGAACAAGAAATACTCAAATATGACTTGGAAATCAAAGCTCTCATGCAGGTGCGAACATTTATTTGGTAAGACTACTTAGTGCCACGTTAGGACACGCTGATTATTGAACTTGTCATTGACGGGAACCGCGTTGTTCCCGGTGAGCTGTCTGTGGAAGTGCAGACATGCATCGCTTTTAGGGTCAAAATGGGCTGAAAAATGAGCTCACCTGCTGGGATAATGTTATTATGTGATAATGGAGGAACCAGAACTGGCAGTGAGAAGAGCTTTAGAGTCGGACTGCAGTATTATAAAGTGGCTATAACAAAGGTAGCTCATTCAGGTAGAGAGAAATCATTTAAACTCACTTGTTGTTGGATAAACGTGATTTAAATGAGCCCATTCTCTCTATCAAGTTTTTTCCCCACTAATTCATATTTTTATTTTATTTCCACATCTTGGTTTAAGCATATTTTTAATATTATAAGTTCCAGTTGGTAGCTTTTGTTGCTGGATTAGTGCCAAATTGAATCTATTAGCCGATTAAGACAAATAATAAACAGAGTTTTTAATTTAAATTTGAATAATTCATGATAATACTTCAATAGCAAGCAAAAGTTTCAAATATTTATTTATATTCACTTCTCTTTTCTTTCTTTTTTTATACAATTTAACATTCAAAACCTTTTGTATTTAAGTTCATCAGAAGGAATTTTATGGCTCTCTTTGGACTGTAGGAAATTATAATTTGTCTCTATATTCTGACATTTAATAGATGATAAATATCATCAATTCATAATTGATTATCATAAAGAATGATTGATCAATTGGTGTTCCGTTATTTGTTGCACATTTGGTAGCCCATCACAGTAAGCAGGGAGCAGCTCATACTGTCAGACCCGCCACCGTCCAGCAGAGTGTCTTTGCCTCACAAATGAGAGCAACATGTTCATACGTGTATCTATCTGATCCTTCTTGTGATGTCTCACCAGGATATTAATGAGTGCACGGGCCCTCAAAGCAAGCTGACGGAGCTGAACGCTGATGTGAAAAAGAGTTTCCACAATCTCAGATTGCGAATTCAGGTAAGAAACATTATTTGTGACAGAGAATAAACATATAACTGTAGGCTTTTTAAATACTAGATCGCTCAGGAAACAATTGTTTTTGTTTCTTTGTCAGGATTTAGAGCAGATGGCTATGGAGCAGGACAAAGAGTCAGACAAGCAAGCCATGTTCACTCAGGTAGAGGGACACAGAAAACAGATGCTGAGGTAACGTCTAGATTGGAATAATCTGCCACCCCTGACTTTTATAACTGTTGTTTATTTTGTCACATTTCTGTGTTGACGGGAGGGAGAAGCAGTAGAAAAATGCCAGCTTAAACTTGCATAATGTCTACTTTATGAAAGTATATATCTTTTTATGTGTGTCTGTTTTCCCAGTAACCAAACAGTTTGGAGGAAAGCCAACCTGGCCAGCAAACTGTCCATAGACAATATGGAAAAGAAGGCACTTATTAATGGAGAAGATAGTGCTATGAGGCAGAGGTGAGCGGTGTTATACATTTGTTAGAGAGACTGTCTCATAAGTTAGAGGTATTGAGAGACAGACAGGCATCAGCTGTATGTGAACAACATCATACGTCCTCTCAGTGTTGTAGTTAGAGAAATACGTTGTTTTTATATCTCTATGGATTTGTATCTTTTATCTTTTTCTCAGGAAGATGACCAAAGAGGGTCTCGCTCAGACATCCAGTGACATTACAGAGAATCTTATGAGCATCAGCCGGATGATGGCACAGCAGGTTCAACAGAGTGAGGAGACCATGACGTCTCTAGGTTAGTGAAGGAAACACAACCCGAGTGTGTTAACAGTGTATTGAAGGGTAAAAATGAAAAGGGGAAAATATTTTCCTTTGTTCAAAGAGAAATAAATGCACGTAACTTGCACTGAACGTCAGCTGCACTTCATCATGGCTACCAGTGGTTTGATACTTTTAACATCAGATGCCGTTTGCTGTAACTGTTGTGACTCCTTTCATATGTTGTGTTTTTGCCCTCTACTGTAAATCAAATTACCCCTTGAGGGACAATAAAGATCTGAACTTACTGTAGGTTTGTGGCAACGGACTTTAAAAGAGGGACTATCCATTCCTTTTAATTATGTGTGTATAACACCGCCCGGCTTTGTGTTGAAATCAGTTCTCTCTTTTGTTTGAAGCAACCTCTTCAAGGACAATCCAAGAGACCAACGACGAATTTAAGACCATGACGGGGACCATCCAGCTCGGAAGGAAACTCATCACCAAATACAACCGCAGAGAGCTCACTGATAAACTGCTCATCTTCCTGGCGCTCGCCCTCTTCCTCGCCACAGTTCTCTACATCCTTAAGAAGAGACTGTTCCCCTTCCTGTAGACCAGGTACCCTTATTAGAGGAGCTCTCCCATGACCACATACAGTACCTTCCACGATCAGCGCAAATGATTTAAACAACCCCGAATGCTGCGTGTCATATAACACACACACATAACACAAGAGTTTCTGCTTAGTGGAATGTGGACCGCTCACCCTGCTGAACCGTGACGCTGCTGAGTGTGAAATACTGTCCACAAAGAGGAGGATAAACCTAATAGTTCCAGATATTGTTTAATTTATTGAAAAGATTCATTACAAAGAGGATAATTCATTCTTGTGCACGTGTTAGTTGCACAGAATGTGTGTTAGTGTGACAGTAATGCTGTGCATTGCTTCTAATGATGACCAGTTGTGAGAAGAGAGGGATGACACAAACCCCCATTAATCTTTTCTTTTATACATTCCTGTGGAAGATATCCAGTTACAGTTTTCATAAATATATATATATATATATATATATACATTCCCAGAGATACATAAGAATGCCTAAAGAAAATAGTGTATATGGTCAGATTAGTAAATTGTGATTATCACAAAACAAGTGCACTTCTCATGTCAGTTCAACAAGCTTTTATTGGCATGGATGTCATCAATCTATTTTGTAATAATATTAATTACTGTTGTTAAATAGTAGTATTTAATGTCACACATTTAAGGACACAATATTAGGACTTAAAAAAAACAAATGTGTCTGTGTAACATAAAGGTCAGCAACCTTTACTATCAAAAGAGACAATTTTCGCCCTGCCGCCCCAAAAAATCTGTCAGGTGCTGCAAAACATATTTGAGCTTTATAATGATATTTTACAGATCTAAGATGGTGGTAATCCATAGCTAGCCTCGATAGGGAGACTAGATTAGAAGATTAGGTTCCACCACTATCGAGGTTCAGTAAAATACAGAGGAACGGCATCAGGTCAGGATGTATGACACACATTTTAGTTAACAAATTAGAGTTGGAAAATCACTTTAAAACACTTAAAAGTGTCCATGTATTTTTTTGTTAAAGCTAGAGGGAGGGACTAAAGAGCCACAGGTTGCTTATCCCTGGCGTAACAGAAAGGGGACTTCTTCATATATTCCTCACTAACTGGTGTTTTAACCACGACCTAATACCAGAAACTAACTGTGCGAACGACGTACAAGCGTTTTGTGTAATTGTTATTTATAGCACTGTACTGTATAACCACTGTAAGGTATAATTTATTATTACAGCATTATTATGACTTCATGCTTTGGCAGGATAGAATATTGAAATGGCTTTTTAACCTTTGACTTGATTGGAGCCCAACTGTGGTCACTCAATCTGTTTTTCACTAGCTGGCTGATCAGAACAGTGCTTGTACGTGTATATTCGCACTTGAGATTGTCCCTATGTTTTATTCAGTTAAAAAAAAAGAAGTAGTATCTCAAAAGAAAGAGTGTGCACGCTTTCCTCCATCTCTGCCCGTGTGAGCTTGGCTCTGGTCTGCAGCGGAGCAGAAAAGCTCAGAGAAGCAGTGGCAGTGATCACACTGGCAGAGATAGAGCAGCATGCATCCCTGCCTTTCTTCAGATAAGACCCGGAAAAGCAGATTATTCCGACCCGTTTCCCCTCTCCCTTTCCAATGTGGGTGGAGGGCGAGTGGGGATATTTTTAGGTTTGTGTGGCGCTGCTATCTGACGTTGCCTTTTCAACACCTCGGAGGAGAGGGTGGCCAGAGGGGCTACATGACCTTGCTACCCTTCCTGCAATTGCATGGCATTGCCATTTTGTTTAATATATGTAAATGTTTGTCAGTATTAATGATCAATAAATACAAAGTATTCTGGCTCGATGTTTGACATGTTTTTTCTAAAACGTTTGTTTGTGAGGGTGCATTGTTTTAAATTGAGATAGAAGACAACAGAGCATGTGTGGAGAGACCTGAGAGATGCCTAAGCATCTCTTACTCATGTAAAGTGGTGGCAGTTGGGCAGAGCCAGTTCCTAGCCTGTTCATATAACTGCACACTTAGACAAGGACTCTGGCTCTCTGTCAAGCAAATTGGACTATTCTTGCATTTAGCACTGTGATAGTGTCAATCAAGTGTTTGGGTTTGTATCTGGACAAGTGGACTGGGGTCTCAAGGGAGCGTACACGGCACCAAAGCGGTGGCGTAAACACAGAAACCAGACAGTCTCTCGCAACTCCACATTCATGTTGGAATTTATACGACTGAAGGGAGCTTTGTTCAGTTTTATACCTGACTTACATTATCTGTGCATTTTCACTATGAGTCTAGTTAAACTTTGTCAGCTCAAATATTGAAATAAAACACAGTAATTAAATGCCAGAATTTCCAAAAGGGAGTCTTTAATAATAAAGTACACTGTCCAAATATCTTGGCTCAGGTAACATCTTAAGTTTGTCCTCATATTTACAGAGAAAATGTTGACTGCTATAGAAAATGCTTGTACACACGATACAATTACTGAAAATCAAAATGTTGGAAGTTCCATAGAATTAAAAAAACGCATTTCCTGATTAAATCAGCAGAACCTGATTTTAAAAACCTTCAATACAGGTCAAGGTCATGACTCACAGCCATCTCTCTCCCAGCAACGTTAAAAATATGTGTGTGGACATGTGGCTGACAGCGGGTTGTAAAACGGGTAAACTTTTAGCAACCTTTTAACCTTGTTTAAGCGTATTGAAGGAAGCTTCCTAATGGCCACTTGAACATTTTAGGCAGACACAAACCATATGAGGGTTGTACAGATGTTGGTGTTCTTTATGTGGATCTCCTGAATAACCAGTTCAATCATTGTGATCCAGAGTTATAGATTATATATTGTCATAATTAGCCTATAGTTCAGTGTTATGTATTTCATATGTTTACAATATTCTTATAGCCAAACCAGAGTTATTATATTAAAAAACGTAAAATATTATTTAACTGCTACTACTATTTTAAAAATAATAACAATAATAACAACAACAATATATTAATAATATATAATAATGTAATTAATATAATATGTCCCCATGGCTTACAAATTGTTAAAAATTAAGGTCGGTATGTATTGTCTTTTAATGTCTATTGAACAATATTAAACCTTTTCTTTTTTAACCATAACGTAAATAACACAGAATAATGTAAATAAAATCCGAATTTCGTGTCCCCGAAAGTATTAATCTAGTCATTGGAAAACTTTAATACTCATGAAGAAGACTCCCCGGTCCCAATATTAGTGTATTGGGAAGAGATAATGTATGCTCAGCTGTAACTAACGCTTTTAAAAGAGGAGACCCTTCTAGTGGTCTCTATCTGTAAGTGACATTACGCCTTCAAATATCCCTAGTGTAGTTCTTTGTCTGAAATACTCAGTTTGATGGCGTTACCTTGGTGGCAACCGTTATCTATAGCTTCAAGAAATCATCAATCTGAAACACAATCTCAAAAATGTAATGTGCGGTTACTTTCTACGAACCCAATTCTCTCTAAATATGAGATGAACCTAGACCTCGGTATGCCAGAAATCACACCGAATAATATAACTGGACTCCCAAAACGTGAATAATTGATTAAGACAATATCTCAAGGAACGATAAGTTTATGAATATAAATGTGTCGTCCAAGATTATCAACAATGTACAATTTCTAGGAAAGTGCAATATAGTCCAAGAACACTAGTAAATCACGCTGTCGTTCTTGACAGAACTGCAAGAAAAAAGGGTTGAGTCTCCACAAGGGGCCGTATACCGGAAGGTAGTTGTTCTATATCTGGATGCATACAATTTGATCTATTTTGTGAAATGGGCTTTTGTTTGATCCCTGCAACCAATCGACTATAGTGTGCTCCAAATGCCAAATGCTCACAGGCTGCAAAGATAATCTCGGGGCACGTAGTCTTTTAAGTCTGCGAAGAAAACGATAAGATGTTCGGTATTAATGGCGAGTTTATTTTTTAAAGGTGAACTCGGGGTAAATTAGAAAAAATAGAATGAGTACTCCTAGACATCCGCAGGATTGACGATCTATATATTGTCTCTATCAAAAAGCAGAATCCATCTTAGCGCCTCCATTTGAGTCTAAGGATAGGCTGGCGAGTAGGGTGTGCCACGATGATGCTGATGCTGCGCAGACCGGAAACTGTGTAGTAACTAGGAGACTGCGATATTCCTTGATAAAGCTGTAAGTAAACGAATACTGTGTTAGTGTGAAAACATCTGTAGGAAGGAGTGTAAGAAGGCGTGCTAGCTGCGATCTGCACGCCCAGCAAGGAGCTATATCCCAATGCTCAGCACAGTGACGACCCGATCAGAACCTCCGGCGGCGCTGTTTCCTCGCGAGTCTATATGCTGGCTGGAAAAGACTGGTGAGCCCGGAATTGCCTAGAATATCGTCCCCATTGATCTTTGTTTGCGCTGCATTACCATAAACATAACTCCTCGCCACAGATAGATGACTGGGAAAGATCCTGCGGGTGAAGCGCTATTCAGACAGGGCGGTAACAGTCTGTTTCAGCCGGGTGCCGGATAGAGCTTAATCGTCCTGCCCTGGCTAAGAACAAAGGGGGATTTGTCTATCGATTGTACAATGCGTGGCGCCCGACTAGCCGGTGGATCGATGACGGTCTGGTCCGACGCTGTTGGTCCTGTGGGTCTCGCAACGGTCTCTCTCTCCTTCCTCGTCCCCTCTACTTGGCTCTTCAGACGCACGGTACTGACCTCTCTCTCATATCCTGAAATTCTGTCGAGGAAAAGAGTAATTACCTCAGAGGCTCTTATTGGATGAGCTGGCCTGCCTCGGTAAATTATGAAAATGTGTGTATTGTTCTGTAAAAGAAGACCGTGGTATATAAAACCCATCATTAAGTGAGTGGAATTTGAGAAATTCTCCTGCTTTGAGACCATCTTCAGGGTATAAAAATCATTTCAATCAAAAACTAAAGAACTATCTAAATTTCATAATGATTATCTAGGTAACTGATCGATCTTCTAATTACTGTATGTTGAGAAATGTCCTTCCTATGTTACAGTGTTAATAATGTTCTTAATAATATAATCTTGTCGTCCCACTCTACCTCTGCCAACGATGTGCTCCTAATGGCTAACTAGGCACTCCTCTCCGTCCGTTGTCATCCCGACTGTACATGTGACCATTCATATCCTGTCAGGAAATTTGTTTCTTAACACAAAGGTTCCACATCTACGGTCTGAAGCTTCACCGCGTCCTAGACGATGGTACCGACTAGACGGGAAGGATTTAATATGAGCATTTCTAATCATGAGGCAAATAATAGCCTATTCCCAGTTTTTTAAAATCTAAACAAATTCACATATATTCATAAATCGTTGGGAAATTGACAAAAAGAACATTAAATCATTCGAAGGCCAGTGGTGCTTAGTGCTCTTCAGAGTTACAGTCGAGGCCCTCGCGTGGTATGAAGGGGGGGGAGAGGTGCAGGCCCTTATGGGCTGGTATGTTACTGATCGATGGTACCGGTGCTTCTGTGCCCTGGGTTAGAAAAGCACACTACATCTCCATTACCCAAAATCTTTATTGTATGCAGATTTCTTTGAAAAACTCTGTTAAAAACTGCCCACAACCCATTTTCCAAGAACACTATTTAAAGGTGTGGTACAACAGGCAAGCACACTTAAACATAATAATGTTAGATATATCCGGTTTCCACACCAATGTGGGGAACATCAGATTTTCACCAGTAGAGGTGACCCTGGCTTTAAACTCTGGGCAGAGAGAGACGGAGATCAGCAAAGTTCACTGGATATTTAATCCAACGCAACACATATTCTTTATAGACTTTGAGGATTTGCAACTTTTTTAAATACCTACAAAGTTAGGGAATCCATTCTAACAGACATCCTAAAACACAATCCCCTCCATAAACCTCCTCTGTCTAGCTGTTGAAAAAGGCCGTACTAGATCATCTTCAAGGCCGGAGCCAGATATCCTTCCTGTATAAAATGATTGTAGATGCATCTAAAGAATCCTCGGACAGTAAAAGATTGGCTTGGTCTAGCGATTTAGATGCAGAAATCTCTACAGTCAGGCAGGATGCACAAAATCAGACTATTAACACAAGATTGAAATTGTTACAATTTAAATGGATTATACGTACATACATAACTCCTGCCCTGTTACATTGCTTTGATAACAATAATTCTGATTTCTGTATTAAATGCGGCGAAGAAGGCTCATTATTACACTGCCTGTGGAGTTGCCCCAAAATTAAAACATTCTGATAAAAAGTAATTCAAACTATATCTGATATTATATCTGTCAAACTGCCTGTTTGCCCTCAGGTATTTATCCTAGGACTACTTCCAACTGAGTTAGGAGTGTCAGGTGCGAATAAAAAAAAAAAAAAGATTGTCATTTTGTGCTCACTTCAGGCTAAACACTGTATAGCAACTTCCTGGAAGAGCACTGAGCCTGAACACTGGTTTAAAAGCCTATCCAACGTTCTGGCCATGAAGAAACTGACTTATGCCACGAAGGGGAAAATACAGAGCTTTTTTAAGCTATGGGGACAATTCATTAAATTTCTTGAAAGTCACTGATCAAGAAGTTGAATATTTGTAAAGGACAGTTTTTTTTTAATAATTATTATTATTTTATTTTTTAGAGAAAACAACTAGCAGCTGCACAAGAACCAAGACTATGGATCAGGATGACTATAAACAAAAATCACTTCAAAAATAACCTGCTGCATAAGAAATTTCCACCCATTAGCCCAAATAATAAGTTTGGCTATGATGGCCCGTGGTTTCCCATACTTCCTCTCGGGACCCAGACTTCTGTGAGAGCGGTCCCCAAGCACATCTCTATCCAGCTGCAGCGCTTCTCTCAGAAGCTTTGAGACCGATGTTGTAGGGCTTGATCCATTTATTTCTACTTTCACCGCTTGCAACTCTTTCTTAAGAAAGTTGAAATCTTCAGCCAGTGCACTTTTCAGCTCTATTTTTATCATTGCTGCAATGTCAGTCTTTAGTGAAAGCAGGATATCTCTCTCGTGAACTCGTGGACGAGGCAGTGTCGGGCCTAGATTTGGTTGACTCGGCAAATTTATATTTACGCAGATTTGCCGCCATCTACACGCATACACACTTAACTTAGGGAATATGCTCGAAGCAAGTTTGCAAGTATTTTGTAGAGAAAGGCGCTTATTAACGTACCCCTCTTGTTGTCCTGGGGTCATTCTGACCCCCAAAAAATGTTTTGGTGTCAAAATATGTTTTTTTCATCAAATGGTCTGAAAATAACAGGGGTTGTTCAATACTATGCTCTTCATCATTACATTAATTTTAATTAATTTGATTGAATTATGGGTATCATTATGACACCTGTTGTCCTCTGGGGTCAAAAAGACCCTGCAGCACAAAGCAATGGAGCATATTGTCACGCCATACTGCTCAACAAGCGCACACACACACACACACACACACACACACACACACACACACACAGCTTTGATGTGTCACATCAAAAAAATTCAAATGATTAAAAAAAAACATCCTCACTAAACTGTGACATATACCTTTCTGTGATAAGTCAAATAGTCCAAATAATATGTAGTAAAAATAATTAATTGTTTCATTTTGTTTTAACTAAAAAATAGGGTATACTTTCATATAAACAAGGTCTATTGGCCCGAAATTTAAAAAAGGGAAACATTTGTGGTAATGGGTTGGACTAAAGTAAGACTAAAGGTGTAACTCAGAATTGATTGATAATTTATACTTTATGGTATAAATAACAGTCAAACCATTTGGGGTCATTTTGACCCCAGAGGACCAAAGGTGTATGGCAATAGGGAAGACAATACAAGGGTTAAAATAATACAAAAGCTCGACGAGAGCTCAAACTAAACCCAACCTACTCCTCTCAAGTCTCTGTTATAGAATAATTATAGGCAGTGACGGCTGGTATATATGGCTTAACAGGGCTAAGCCCCCCTATCTTTTACAGTAAAGATAAAAAAAAAACTACTATTAAAAACCTTAGAACATTTTGGTAGAATGTAGAGCAGCAACAGCACCAAAAAGTGGTGAACATGAATGAGGTGGATTATTTACTTAATCAATTTTCTTTAAAGTCTTTTTGGAGAAAAATGGAAGTATCAGAGATTGGGAACACATCATCCAAATTATGTTCAAATAAGGACAAACGACAAAATCGTAGTTTTGTGTTACGTGGTTTCAGCTAACGGACTGGCTAACAGCAAGTGTAGCTAGGAATTCACTTTTCTGTTTCCCATGTTTGCTTTTTGGAGGAGACACGGCTTGGACCCAACAAGGAATTGTGGATTTAAAATATTTATCCGACAAAATTAGGAAACATGAATGCCGCTGCTACAACGAGCCACATTGGAAATAGCGTAAAGTTGTAATTGCTGGGTAAAGTGAACATCACCTGTCAGCTTAATGAGGGTCACCGCATCGCTGTACAGAGACACAACGAGCTGGTAAAGAAAAACAGGCATTCACTATCACGGATTGTGGACTGTATTACATTTTGTGGGGGACATGAGCTTGCCCTGCGGGGGTCCGACGAATCTCCCACTTCACTCCAGCGGCGACCAGTTCTCTTTTTTAGACAGTCAATTAGCCGATCACCTGTCAAACACACAGGTTGCAAAGTACACGTCTAAGACCACAGATTCTCTCAAAACGAGACAGGGCCTGGAGAATTTTTCATGCTTCATATCTGAACTGCTGACCACAGATGACCATCAGCCACATCCAGATGCGGACACAGCGCGCCCCTGCAACGAGCCGCACAGGATGCGCGCGCTCTAATAATGTGTCAGCTAGCTGCACAGTGCCCTGTGACTATAATTGTCGAGAAGTCAAAGGGCTCGCCTTTGAGAAAGCCAAGCACTTGGTGTCTTTGCATGTGCACATTAGCCAATGATAAGCAGATGGTGATGTACAGCAGTGGTGGAGTTTGACATGCATTGTGCTTCTTTAAATAAAGTATGCCCATGCTCTGAAACAACTCTCTCCTCTACAAATATTATTTTTGCTTTGTTTTGTAGCTTTATGGTGTTTGCAAATTGTTGCCTGGTACCTTTCATAATGTTGTTGTAGCGGCAATTGCCATGTGGCGGGATGTGTACCAGGAGGAGGAGAGACGGAGAAGAGAGAGAGAGAGAGAAGAAGAGAG